TTGTAAATCGAAACATTTATTTTATCGATATAATTACTCGATAGTCACTAATAATCTCTTTATTTAATATAAATAATCAAATTCCCATGGAAATGCAATTCCCACTTCCAATATGTAATTCTTTCAGATCATTTGTGCTTCGCAATAACTAAAAGTGCTCGAGTAACGTTTAATAACAAATATATGATATTCAGCACAGCGTGTAGCCATATAATGAATAACGCGATACCGCGTTTATTATGGATTATTAAGAATTTTCCATCCTCGGATAAATTTGAATGATCAAGTTGAAAAATGTCCGATTGTTGCTCGTCTCACCGAAAAGATTGAATGGGACTGGCGGCCTCTTTTGAGAGTCGCGCGCCACATTTAAATATATGTCCCGTAGCCGTAGCCGTAGTTCATCTCGAAGGTCCACAGCATTGAAATTGGCCTATGGCTGCTGGATGTCGTTGTTGATCTTCGACGTTTCTTCGCTGCCGTTCGCTTACGCCACGAGAAAAAGAAGAGTAAGGCGTGTGTAGTCCGGGAGAACCAAGCGCAGCTTTTTTCAACGGTTCGAATAAATAATCTCTTTTCCTCTCTGCCGTTCGTTCGCGCTCTCTTTCTCCCCCACTTCTAGCCGATTGAACGTCGCGCTCACGACTACACGCACGCTCGCCGCGATGACGACGTGCCACTACGCGTCTCTCACCTACGGTACACTCGACGAGACTTCGTGCTATATATTAAACGAAGACGAGATGAGAGCGAGATTAAAAAGAAGGAAAAAGAAATAGCACAAGAAATGGATATATACATGAGCGCAGGCGCGCGCGCTCGCACGAATACAATAGGTGCAGAGAGTAGGGGAGAGTTGCGCGCTTGTTTACTCGCAGACGAGTCTTTCTCTTTCTCGAGGCAATAAACCTTGAGCGGCCACAAGTAGATTGACGACTATCAGTGATAAATCTTTCAAAAGCCCTTCCATTTACTTTCGATTGTTATTATTGTACGTTTACTTATTATGCTAATAACCATATCACTATATCACCACGTTACTATGCAAGATATTAATCTAAACTATGTTTACGTCGTCTCGAATAGTATATAGAGAGTAACAGCAAACTCCCATCACCTCCGTTCCATCGATACACTTTCTGCATTATCAGATTCAGTATAATTGACTAGGTCCTTTAACATATCTTTATTTTAAAGCGATGTAAAAGTACGAAAAAATTTGCTCACTCCCATACAATAATATTGTTTATCAACACTGCATTTCAAATCGGAAGTACTTCATAATAAATGAGAAATTCGTTTTCGGTCACTAATGACAATTGCTACTGTATTATTAGTCCAAGATGCTTTTACCTTTGCACAAATTGCTTTTAGTTTATCCTTTGTTTTGTTTGGCTTTATAGTTTGATAAAAGAATGTTAATAAATAATTTAATTAACTGTATGAATCAAATGCATTTCATTACGGAGTAAAAAATTCAGTTTAAAACGAATCACTGCACTAGATAATCTTATTCGGTATAATTAAGTAATAGTAAGATATTGAAAAAATATATGAATTTATAACGTATACAATGTTATAAGGCTTAATGGAAACTTGTGCAGTATTATTGTCAGGCGCTAGCGGCGGAGAAAACTGAATACATAATTTTTCGCAATAGCGTATAAATAATATCTTGATCATCAGAATATATTCGAAATTAGGAAATAAGGCTATAAATTGCAAAAATATGCTAGATTCGAAGGCAGGCCGTTGGAGGAAAAAATAGTACGAGCAATAAAATAAACCGCAATGTGAGGCATAAACAAAGCAGCGGTATCGTGCATCGCTCCATTGAATCCGCAAATACAAAAAAAAAAATAAAAAAAACAAAACAAAATAAAAAATAAAAAAATGTAAGCTTACAGGTAGCCTTGCAAAGGCGCAATGCATCTTCTTTAGGAAAGCAGATAATCAACTGGTCATAATAGCCAGCGTATCGTCTCGTATCACAGCTTAGCGTAAATAAGTCGTAAATAATACATGCATCTCTAACCGGGAGGACACCGGTGAACTGCTGTGCGGCGTGAATGAGAGAGAGAGAGAGACAGAGAGAGAGAGAGACAGAGAGGCAGACAGACAGACAGACAAAAAGAGACAGAGACAGAGGGAAAACACGAGCGAGTAACGCGGTCTCGTCATATGTACGTGCGCTCGTCGGGCTAAAAAGGCGCGGACATCTCTATAGACGTACGTGCGTACGTAGCCGCAGAACCAAGGGAGCTCCTGATAAGATAAAGTTACGCGTCGCTGGCGTAACGCGCCTTTTCGATATAACCCGATTTTGAGAAGCCAGCGGTAAGGGCCCGAGTCCTGGGGCGTCCGTTGCAACCAACGGCTAGGGGAAAGCGCCGATCTTTACGTGCTTATCGAACGACGCCCAAAAATAAAGAGGCCGAGTGCGGTCTCGCATGACCCAGCCACACGCCCCCCCCCCCGTCCCAGCCAACTTTCAACTTTTTCATCGACTCAGGGCTTATATGCACTTACATGCATAAATGTATGTATGAATGTGTATATATATGATGCGAGCTCGATTATGCAAGACGTAAACAACACAGAATGTCAGATTCCTTCTTCATTAGTGTTTTCCCGTGCCCTATAGCTAGACTTCAAAAACGTGTACGTTTACGCGATGTTCGCACCTCCTGCACAGCCAACCGATGAAGCGGCTACGACATTATACGAGAGTGAGGGTATGCCTCGGCAAAATTAAAACAGATTTCTGCTTTTGGGGATTAATTGAGTTTGACATTCATTGTCCTCGAGATAACCACTTACTTTGTACTAAACAATAATTCTCAAAGCATCGGCTGCCATTTCCAATTAAGGTGTAACCCTCTTGAAATCGCCTCACAATCGAAGAGAAAATGTTCATGCATTGCTGCTAAATATGCGACATGATACGATATGATACCAACTACAAATTAATTAATTCGACCCTCCAACCTCACATCTTTGTTTGATTTAGGAAAGAGTAACGATCGGTCAATTACTAAACGAATCGCGTATTAAAAAAAGCGAAGCAGAGTCATATGCTTTTGCAATGTAGTAGCGATCCCTTTTAATATAAAGGGACGTGCCCTTTTTGCTTGTTTTTTTTTTGTAGCAATTAGTGCAAATACAGAGACGGATTTAAAATAATATGGCGTTTCCCCTTATGGAGTGCGAGTTTTAATATCGCTCTAGTGATAAACTACAAGGAGTAAGAATATAAAACATTTATCGGTTATTTATGACGTTATTGGTGTTTGAAAATTGGCCTTATGAAAAAAAAACAATGTTATAATGATTGATAAAAGGATTAATACGTAGGATACAGTGTTTGATATTATATACGACAGTTTTCCCAATCAAACGCGAGAATGTGGTGGGAGAAAAGTCCTTCCGCAAACGCCGACTGCGGTGAACCGTAAGAAATAAACAAAAACCAAGAGTGTACAATGGTGCTGCAAGGCCGCGGGTTTGCTTGTAGACGGGGACACGAAGAGAAAGAAAGGAAGTTCCGTGTGTCAAAGTAAGCAATGCTCAATGTCAATGTACTTCGACATAGCCCTCGTGGAGGAAAGGAAGCGCTCAAGCTGCAGTTGAGAATTAGGAATCAATTGTAAAGTGGAGACGAGGTGGATAGATGGATGGATCGGCGGATGGATGGATGAGTAAATGGGTAAGATGTGGGGGGAGGGGGGGGTGCCCAACTGGAACCAGAAGCATCGCGTCAAAGATGATCGAAGAAAGCGGAGCGACTCGAAAGTGCCGCGAGTTGGAAAGTTTTATCGGAAAGGCGACGCGTCGCCTCCGAAATGAAGCTGAACTTTGGTGAAACCGAGCGTAGTTGTGTCGACTACCCAGGCAGGAGCGAGAGGAGGCGTAGCTCCTCCACCGAGTTTTCGAGCCAAGCAGCGGCGGTTGGGCTTACGATTTGGCCCTCGATGTTGTTCGGCTTCTCCCGGTCGCTGTGGGGCGACATGCAGCGAGTAGCAGCGCGGCCGAAGTCGGCCGATCGACCCTTGTAGTGGGGCATGGGAGGGGGGTGTGCAGTTAGTGAGCGGGGCAAGGTGAGGCGGGTACCGACGGTGGTAGTGGTATTGGTGGTTGTAGTTGTAGTTGTAGTTGTAGTTGTAGTTGTAGTTGTAGTGGTAATGGTAATGGTAGTGGTAATACAGGCGGCGGCGGCGAAGTTAGCGGCGGCAGCGACAGTGGCGGCGGCGGTGGCGTTCACCGATCGGTCGTCGAATGGTAAGGGGGCGACGGTAGAGGCGGCGACAATCCCGAAGAGAATCGAGAAGGGCCGAGTGCCGGTCGACGGCGGCAGCAGCGGCGGCGGCGGCTTAACCGCTTGCCAGGCCGCGTCAACCGGCGTTCAGTCAGTCGCCAGAAAGCGCCTTGAACGTGTATTAGGCGTTTCCGCGCTCCTCGCCTCGTCACGAGGGTGCCGAGCCACTTAACCAGAAACACAGACCGTAACCGTTATCAGCGTCGCTTTCCCGAGTTTTCGCCTATTGGCGGCTTATCGCGCTCGCGCTTCTTGGCGTCACCTGCTGTTGCTGAGCGGCCACACACAGAGCCGTGAGGCTTTGCGCGGGAACGGAAGAAAACGTGCTCGTGTCGGTCGAGTGTAGTGATATCGAGGCCGCCAGCCACGTTACGCACGCGCGCGACTCACGGCTAGTCGGAGCAACGAAGACGGCACCAGGAGCCGCGATCCCCCACCACTCGCTCTCCTCGTTTTCCTCGCTCGGCAGCCTGCCTCTGCCTTTACTTTGCGAGACAACGACGGCGCTTCGCATCGGGCCAGGCCTACGTGCCGTGTGCAGATCCGCTTCGCGCGGTTCGCGGGAGTTTTGCTGTTATCGTCGACGTCGTCGACGTTGTCGTCGTCGTTGTCGTCATCGTAATAATAGTAGTAGCAGTAATAGCAGTAAAAGTAACAATAATAAGAGTAATAGCAATAGCAGCATCAGCAGGAGCCGTAGTCGTGATTGTGGTTGTGGTCCTGATCGTCGTAGTCTTTCTCATCTTTGTTTTCGTTGTTGTTGTTATCGTCATTGTGACGGTCGTGTCGGAAAGGCCTGAGCAAAAAGCGCCAAGTTCCCAAGTGCCGGTCAAAGTGAGACGGAGAAAGGGGAGAGTCTCGTCGGGCACAAGGAGTATCCGAGAAGCAAAGCAGAAGAAATAAAGAAAAGAAGGAAGAGCTCGCGCACCCGCGCGCGAGAGAGAGACAGAAAGAAAGAAAGAGTGAGCGAGCGAAAAGGAGGGTGGGAGGAGAGGACGCGCAAGAGTCCTCCTTGCTAGCCCGGCTCGAGAAGTGAAGAGAGGAGCGGGTGCGCGTACACGCGTGCCCTCGCGCTCCGGCGTCGTTGCCACGTTTATATGAGTGGCTGTGGTGGCTCGGGCTTGCGAGGCCGCGTCGCTGTCGCCGCTTCGAAGTAGAAGAAGAAAGAAAGAAGAGAAAGGAGGACGGCGATAATAGCCCAGCGTCGTATATATACATTGGTGAAGAATAGGAGCAGGAGGATAAAGGAGTGAGAGTGAAGCGGTGATCAAGGGAGCCCCCAGTTCCAGGAAGCCCCGGGTCGGGCTTCCCGCGCAAAGCCCTCGGAGCCGATCACGTGCTCGCGAGCGCTCGCTGCCGAGAGGCGTTGTTGCCTCCGTCGGGGGAAGAGCGCAGCCCAACCCGAGTCTCGCGCGAGCGCAGCGACGGAAGATAAGGGTGCGGGGAGGAGCACCGTAGCGTCGCTCGGCCGCGTGGACCGCGATAATATGAGCGCGCGCGTGCTTAACCCGGCGATGATGACGGAGATGAGCCGAAACCTCGGCGTCATGGTCGGGAGCAGCGGCGGTGTCGGTGTCGGCGTCGGCGTAGGCCGCGTTACGCCGAGTAGGGCCGCCCTCGCGCGGGTGCGCCGCGAACTCTTTGGGCCCGTGGACCATGCGGCGGCCCGCGCCCTGACTGAGCGCGAGCTCCGGGCTCAATCGATGCTCGACGCCGAGCGCTGGGGCTTCGACTTCCGGCTGGAGGTGCCCAAGAGCACCGGCAGCTCGCGCTTCGAGTGGGAGCTCGTCACGGCGCAGGACGTCGTGCCGGAACCTTACGCCCTCCGGGGCATGCCCTATCTGAGGAAGCATTCGCCGGCGACGCCCCGGAAGGCTACAAAATCTGCGAGGTCCCCGCGGAACCGCAGGCTAAGCGCGGAAGAGGAGACGGTAGCGCCGCGGCTACCGCCGCCGCCGCTGGCCCTCGCGACCACGACGACGCTACTGACAAGCGAACGGACGCCTCCTCAGGAGGCCCGCGTTCCTCCCATCGGTGAAAGGACACCCGACGTCGTACCCGCAATCGCCGAGCTTAGCTTCAGATCGAAGGACCGTAATAAGAAGGCCGCTGCGCCACTGAGGGAACAGCCGAGCAGCACACCGATGCTATCACATCCGCGAAAGCAAGCTTCCATCACTGGTTAGTATTCATTTTTGTATTCTCGCCTTTCGACTCCTTAAACTTTTTGCTATTTTTACTTGACCGATCGGAGCTCTCATCCTCCAGCTCTCTCGCCTATTTCCTCTTCATTCTTCATTGTTCTTGTCACAATTAAAACTTATGTCAGGAATGATGCCACCACGGCAGCACATCGCCAAACGAACCATTCAATTTTCCGACTTGACATTTTTCTTTTTAACTTGTCCCTTACCTCTACATCCTTTTTGCCGCTTTTTGCATGCTAGAATAAGCCAAGACATAACGAACTGTAACTCTCTTTCGTTTTTATTTTTTTTTTCTTTCTTTCTTTCTTTTTTTTTTTTTTTTTTGATGAATCACCCAACATCCGACTTTTCAAATGGCAAGGGATCCGGTTGGTATATTATTTGGAATATATTGAGTTTATATTCAATAGCTATTATTTAATGGTCATTCTAAACGACAGGAGGACACGCATTTGAAAAATTTTTTTTTTTTTTTTTGATGAATCACCCAACATCCGACTTTTCAAATGGCAAGGGATCCGGTTGGTATATTATTTGGAATATATTGAGTTTATATTCAATAGCTATTATTTAATGGTCATTCTAAACGACAGGAGGACACGCATTTGAAAAACAATTTCAAGTTACATTGGGTTGAACCACCTAACCTTACTCTTCCAATAATTCGACCGACCAACGAATCAGGCTTCCAGCGTACTTATGTACAAAATTAAAAATCTACTGCCCATTAACAAAATGAAAAACTTTAATTTGTAATCACTATAAAATAACCGCGCAGTAGTACATAGCACATCTCTATTGCCAACGTATTTAATTAAAATTTTGAACGTTTAGCAAATAATTAATACATTAACGCGCTGATCCTTTTTAATAGTACTTTGCATCTACTTAGTAATAATTTTAATAATCATTAGCGATCCGATTGACGCTGCTTTAAATTAAAGACGACCTGTATCATTACCTAAACTCGTCGAAGCAAGCATATATATCGAGTCGAGCACATAATCAAAACAAATGCCGTATTGTTAACTGGCAACAGTATATAATATACTATTCTTTATATTGAAATACACCGAGGCCAGGTATTCTCTCCCCTAATTAAATTGAACGTACTTCTATAAAAATACATAGAGTACTTATATATAATAAAAAAACTATATTAAATATATGCGATATAAATATTAAAGCCATTACCGAAAAGTGCGTTGACCGTTCATTGATCGGTATTTTCTATGAACCAGAAAGAAGGGCCGAAATAATACAATGTAATTGCAATAATAATTAACATGGAAGTCCAATTTATATAGATACGAATTTACATAACCGCTTAAAAATAAGAATAACTAGATTGATCGATAATCAACGTTTATTATTATTATTATTAAATGTATTTAAATCATGAAAGTAATTGCCCTTTCGATTTTACGACCAATTAAACTGGGCTTTTAATAGACGAAGTAACATCAGTTTTTTATCAGTAGTTTGAGCGAATTTGTACATTTTGAAAAGTCGTACATCTCAAGTAGACGAATGCAATGATTAAAAGAATAGCTAAGGGATGAAGTCAAAAAGAACTGTCAATATAATAACGTTCGATGATATCAATACGATTGTAGAAGATTGAAAAAACGGAGTGTAGAGCGAAGGGATAAATTGCCTCGCGCCTCCCGACGAACATCGAACAGAGGCGTAGAGGGGGCGAGGACAGCGACTCTGGACCAAGCACCTCGTCGAGATATAAGAAGGCTCATAGGGACGCATGTCTTGATAAAAGTGAACAAAAACAACGGAGCGCGGATGTGGCGAGTCCCTTCTTAACCATGTTTGGTTTATGGAACAAACCAGCCACGGGGAATCCAAGAGCCGGCTCGTCTTCTCGAGCCTCGGTCGGCAAACGCGTCCCTTCTCCATACGCCTTCTCCTCTCCCATCGGCAACACCAATCCACTACAAAAGCAACGCGACTCAACGAGATGTAAACGACGCATTGCCCCCGCATCGTTACGCTACTCTTACCCACGCGACGCCTATGACTATTTTCGGACTTGACAAGCCCTCAATGCCCTCTCCCCTTCTGGGGTTGGCTCCAGCTTGCACTCGATGAGTAAACGCGTAGTAGTTTTTGCCCCAGAGCATACTGCCCTCGAGGAGGCCGTCGTCGCCCCTCTCCGTTCTAGCCACAACTCAAGGAATTCTCTCGTGGTGATCTCGTAGATGCGCTTTGCTTGTATAAATAATAATTTGATTTCAAACGCGAGTCTATTCGTCTCATAAGTATGTCTCATCATATCCGTTGCATCAGACTGCTCCAAACATCTCCCAGCTATCGCGCAATTATAGTGTCGTTCAATTTTTCGTTATCACAAGCGAACGCGTGAGTTGTCGTTGTCGGCGGAGTTCGTACATGTAGCGCCATTTTTAACGTTATAAATGAGGAAATAAAGATAGATGGGAGGAAAGAGAGATTCGATTTAGACTCGCTTACGGCAGTCCAATTGAAATTTTAGCCAAATGCAAATCTGCACTACTTTTCTCGTCGACCTTTTAATGGAACGGCGGACGACCTGCCCCCTCTAGCATCCTTAATGTCCCTCCGCTGCTTCAGTAAATACGCATCATTACTGGCAAAATCGCATGATAAAACTCCCAAATGAATAGTTATCATTGCGAGCAATTAATAATTGTTAATTGTCACTGAGCTTCGTAATGTAGGAAGAAGCCGCGGGCCGAGATAATTCGACGGCTTGGTGGATAGCCTCGGTAGCCAATAAATAGTTCAAACCGCAATCTGGCGAAACAATCGATGGGGCTTGCCGTCGTTTTCCCACTTTTTCAATTTGACGAGGGGGCCGCGGAAATAGGGATAGGGGTGGAGAGGAGGGTGAAGACCATCGCATTCCCAAGAGCGCGTAACGTACTTTATTAATGAGCAGTGTGGTGCAGTCAGCTGTTAGTCGTCGTAAGGCTCCGTAATGGGGGGGGGGGGTAGCGTTGCCCCTGTGGCACCCTCGCACCCTCGCACCCTCGCACCCTCGTAGTGCGTGTAATCCCCTTCTCGAAGAACACTCGTCGACCCCCTCGGTCAACGGAAGTGCGCCTCAACTCTGATGCAGGGAATGGGTTTGCAGCGGGGACGCACATGGGGGTATCAGCTGTGCGAGCATAATGCGTCGCCCGGGAGAGGAGGGGTTTTATTTTCGTAAGCCAGCTAGCGTCCACCCGTCGCTCTTCCACTGACGTTATAAACCCGTAACGCCATTTAAAATCGCGAGGGGAGCTTTTAAAGTCTCGACGCGCGATTTAAATTTCCCATCTTTTCGACCTCCTCCACTCCTCCACCCCCTTCTCCGTTTCCTACCCCTCGTCGTCTCTTAACAGTCACTATCCATCGAGAAGCACATTCAGTCTTGAATGACTTTCTCACCGTTCACAAACCCTTTATATTTTCTTGGTTGTTAATTGGGGCGTTATGCGCCAAATTCGCTGCGAACTCGGAATATCGAAGAGGAATTCAAATGGGACTTCGATTTTCTGTGACCTCGTGGATATAGGCTGCATCAATAATGCCATTGGTTGTTATTTCGTGGGCAAGTAAGCAGTATTTAGTAGCCGTTGACTTTCTAGGAATTCGGTGTTTACGCTGTTGTTGCAGCAACATACGCGCAACGGTTCTTACTACGCTTCGACCGTTTTGTGACTCGTATTGTTGTATATGCAGTAGTCAGTCGGCGTGCGTCGGTCATGACATTCGAACGGGAATGCAAATTTCAATGGAACTGAAAAATAAATCTTTTCTTGGCATTCCGACTTTTGGGAGCCCACTGTCTCTGGAATTATCCTTCGTTTATTTAACGAACATTTTGCGTCCCAACACAACTCACTACTATTTTCAAATGTTTTCAATGCATATAGGTGCATGTTAAATCAAGTCAATTCAAATATAATAAAATGCCCATACATATGATTGTATTATTGTTAGGTTTATTATTATACGTAGTAGACATTAAAGATTGATGTTGAGTAAGGAAATGTCGATTCATAATCGCAGCACTACGGACTACCAACTACCAACTGATAATTTCCATTCTACGTAATCTGTCGGTTAATGTTCGATTATTTCGTGCTAATGATATTCCTATTCCATCTTGCACTAAACGTTAATATTTATATTAAGCTGATTTTGATTGAATAGCCCCACTATTTCTCTCTTTCTGCCTAGATATCGAATATTTTGAAAATACTCAAATCTGATTATTATAAGCGATCGATGCGTTTGACCAAGGTGAATTCGGGAACCCTCTTGAAATTGCCATAACCAACGGAAAATAACGTCGAAAAAAGTATGCCGAGTAGTCGAACGAAACGGGCGCACTCGATCATTCCGTGTCATTTCACTGCGTACCCCAAACCAAGCGCCAATGCCGAATCAAATGATTTATCGTGTCCCCGCCGCCGCTGCCGCGGGCCTCATAAACTGCCGGACGAAATGAAGGACCGGAAAAGTAGGTAGTTAGGTGGGTAGGAAGGTAGTTAGGTAAGTAGGTGAGTTGACGGGGAGGGGCAAGCCAATGTAATATAGAGCGATGTATATATTGAGTATTGAATCTCAGGAGGAGTGCGCCTGGAGTCGTAGGACGTTACTGGGCATTAGTAGATCCCATGGCAATGCTATTGCGTTGGGAATTGCGATGTATTTGATTATTGATCACTGATCGTCCCTCATCTCCCCGTGCCCATTTAACGCCATTCTTCTTGGCGCGGGTACAATTGCCCGCCTTTCATGCCGCCTCATCGCTCGCACATCGAAACAGCTGTGGTCATTGAGATGTATAAAAGAGATTCGAATACATCAGGGTGTCAAAGAATTGAAAAAATACAAGTATGGATTTCTAGTACCTTAATCCAATCATTTTTATAACTCACCATCACGAAATTACCAACCAATTTTTTTTTAGACACATTTGCCGGTAGATTGTTGGCCCATGTATTGAGCGGCAAACGTCCTTTTCTAATTTATATCAACATTGGCAATTCATTTATTTTAATTCGAACCAATTCAAAGTCTAAGTGTGTTATAACACCATACTTTTATTTGCTTGAAATTGCATGCTTCCTATGAAGAAAAAAATAGCATAATAATAACGCTATAATAATTAAAAAGAGTCTTGATATTTAAATGCACGGAATTTCAGATTGCAAGGGCCTCTCAGGAAACTATAATAAAAAGAAAATCAACATTGGTATGAATCTCCTGAATTTTTGCGAACGTCAGCCGTTAGAATTCCATCCACTTATTGTCACCGCCCACGCGCGCAATAAATAAACACGCAAAACGCGTAATTTTTACGTAGCATCATTATTCGGACGAAGTTTATATAATATAGGGGCGTCGCGTGTGCAGGGGCTTATAAGCAACGCATCTACACTAAGAAAACATATGGCTAGACATTGCCACCGTCGTGAACTCAAAAAAGGCAAGCGCACGAGCGCTTTTTACTACTACTACTACTACTATTCCTACGGATGGAGATCTAACAAGGGGTGAACACGGGGCGTATATACTTTATATTGTCAAAACGAAAAAGACACTGCTTTTTGTCGCATGCTGTTCTCTCCTTTTTTTAATTATATTCCAATGTCTACTGCTGTTGGACTAATGGTAGATTCAACTGGCAAAGGCTGATGTAGTTATAAGGTCACGTGCGCCAACGTTGTATTTTCGGGTAAAATTCTAATTTGCTCAAATTTGAATTCATTTGAATTCATTTACGGTAATTCAAGAACCGGGTGAGCGTTGGACAATTTCGAGGACGGAATATTAATTTTCTTTTTCTTCTTATCTCTTACTTTTGCTTTATCGATGCCTCGATTTCCACCCACATGACTCAACTAAATTCCAATTAAATAAGAATTCGAAAATAATGCCAAAGAATTTCTCGAACCACATGTATACTTATTGAATTATTTTTGTTATTACAATGTTTCATTTTATACGTAAATATCTACCCGTAATAATACATAAATTCAAATCATAATGTCATATCATAAACAAGCTCCTTATTTCCAAAAAGAACAACAAAACTTACGAGAAACATTAAATTACATTGCTTATCTAATGCAAAATGACAGTATGTTCAACTACTCATAAAAAAAAAGAACTGCACAACTCAATTTCTCTATGTCTTATTTACTTGTGGATAATTACAAATTTATAATTCTTTGGCATGTTATGCGATAGTGTCTAATGTATGAACAAAGAATAAGCAGTTGCATTGCCTCGTCTGTTGATTCATTTGCTATACAATATTTGCAATAACAAATGGCATGTTTTAATATGCGCGCTTATGAAATAAATCTTCATATGCCGTACGCCGATATTAATAACAGCATAATTTAATAGATATTAGAGTGACTCGGCGTTTCTTTAAATGAAGTATTTGCAAATCCAATCAGTGGATCATCGGGATTGTTACATTTGGTCCTTTGACCATTGAAGCTAGTTTCAACTGCTCGACATTTGTACGGTTAAATTTAAATGTAAAAACATTAAAGATAATTTTTTTTGTTTTAACAAAAGACGAGGACACGAAATGTTAGTATTACGTCGGCCTTGCGAACTGTTGCATTGTGAAAGAGCAGTCAGAATATAATTAAAGTATGCAAATGTGCGTTCGAGAGCCAAAGCGAATGCACGAATAATTTATGTGGTGCCGTTTATATGAAAACTGACCTTCGTCCAAGTGTGATCGCGCGGCAAGGTTAAAGCTTTTTTTTTCTCCCTTTTAATACGAATATGCATGCCGTGTAGTCGCGAAACTTCGCGGGCTATGCTTTATGTATCACGCGAAGAAATTTGCAATTACATTGGTTTGGGTCTGGAACTTTTATACCCATGAATGAGTTACAAATACAAGTTCCGTTATGCCTTAACATTCGTTGGATTTTTCAGTACCTCGAAAAATCATCGTTTGCTTATTTGTCCGAATGAAAAAACAAAATTGGATGCTTCGGATGCCGTGTAAATATAGAAATATCAAATATTCATCTCGGATGCGCCTTGCTTTCTTCTCTTACTGCTTGCTACCTATTTCGCGAACTGAAATTTATTTTTACATTTACAGATTTTTATCGACCAAGAGAGCTTTTGACGATGATTATAAACATATAAATATGTTAAATTTAGCCTATCCGCCTTCCATAACTTAATTGCTGCGAAATTCAATGCCTAAGCGCAGTTGACGTAGCCAAATTAATCACAAGCCCTTTTTCCACTTTTTGTTTACAGATTTCATGAAGAGCCGAAAGCGCACCCTGAACAGCTCAGGAAAGAGTATGCTGGAGCCCTCGGAGAAGGTCTCTCGCAACGCCGGTCAGATACGCAGCTAAGCACGAGCAACTTGAGTCGGACAAGATCCGAGGGAGGACCCGAAAGAGAAGTAGCGGCATCCTGCCAAGCGCCCCTTCCTCAGCCACCGCCCTTGAGCACGCGCACGTAGATACATATACGTGCTTTAGTGGCAAAGGGCGAACTAAAAAGTACAGCAGCAGCGACAGCTTTCGCACACGAAGGTTCAATAAGAAAAATGAAAGTCGAAGGAGCGGCACGCACGCGCGAAGGTCGACCCTTCTCTCCTGTGCCATTCACCTAGATTTATCCGTTTTCCCTCCCCGGGCGACGTATGTCCCGATTGAGGCAGACCGACCAAGCGGGAGGGAGGTGTAGACGGACGGACGGAGGCGAAAGAACCGGGCGAAACCCGACAGATTATCGTTTGCGCTTCCAGGTGCGCGCGTGTGGGGCTCTTATCTCGTTCGACGCGTAAAGTGCAAATATACAAGAATATTAGATAGACGTCTAAGGTCCATATCCTTCATTATGCGTTTCTTTAGCCCTTAAGCAGAGAGTATATTAATGTATTTTTGTCCTTTATTATAAATTGTGTGTTTGCTAACCTGCGATACGACGGTTTCGATGAGCTCTTTAGCTGGAGGCTTGTGAATCGAGCCACGAGCCTCCACCAGGTTTATTTGCCTACGGTATGCTAGAACCTTCACAAAGTCTCGAAGATCGTTTTTTCTTTATCCTTTCTCTCTCTCTCTCTCTCTTTCTCTCTCCCTTTATATATATATATATATATATATATATATATATATATATAGATCCCTCCCTTTTTTACTCCATCCTTCCCACCCTCTCTCCTCCCTCCCGTTTATTTCCTTTTGCTTCCTTTTGTTTGCTCGTAGGAAACTACTAATCGCGAGGAAGACACGGACCTTAACGCGGAGCTGATGATAGCGCGCACACGCGTCCCTCCACTCCTCGCCGAGGTTCTTCACTTCCTTAAGTATCAAGGCGATTTTCACGATCTAATCCTCAAAATCGCCTTTTTACTCAGCTGATTAGAGTCCATAGTTTTTAAATATGTATAATATGTAAAATAAAGATTTTTTTATTATTTAAGGGGACTTGAATGTTTTCGTAATTTTTATAGTTAAAAACGTAAGAGGGCAAATCAAAAATGGGATCAGTTATTATTAACTGCGGCATTTTGTCGAGAATGCCGCTTAACCCAAACTTTTACGGCGTACTTCTTTAATCTCCCACACACGGCATTCAACGCGTCATTGTGACACTTCAATCGTTGCTTCGGGACAAAAGCCGTTGGGTAAATTGCACGGCCTCATCGTATACATTACTTTTTAATTATTCTCACATCCCATAAATTATTCGTTATCTTCGTGGATCCATGTTTATTATTAATAAAAATTTATTTTTGAAAAAATGGTCTTCGGTCTTCGTCTTATGGAATATAGACGAGAAAAAGGACGACAATTGATAAAAAACAGCAAAACAAATCATAAAATCAAAGCACATGAATTCTGTTATTGTTCTTACACATGTAATTTTTTTTACTTTTTGCACATAAACGACTAATGATGTAATGAATTTTTATAATAAAAGTGATGAAATTGTACAAATATGCGTTCTGTTAACAAAATCCATTTCAACACATCGCAAACGATCAAAATAGGATATAAAGATATCCTACATTAAATAAATAAAGATTACTAACATTTCTAAGGTACTTTGTTATGACGTTAATATTTAACGCATCACGCCTACGAATGAATAATATCTATTCTAACCTCTTTCTTTATTTCTATAAAAGTTACGGCATAACTTTCAAGAATTTCCGCCTTTCTATAATTCCGTGTATAAATCGGTTTCGCCCTCAATGTCAAAAAACGACACGAATTCACAGTACACATTCTTGAATAATGCACGTCATTCTCTACACAATGCATATGGTAAACATATATTTCATAAGTAATGGAAAACAAAAACGTACATGTGCGTGTGAAAAAGTTAAAATGACTGTTTATCTCACTTTTTATTCATCGCAGTATGCGTCTGAGTGAGCACTTATCAAAACAAAACAAAACGAATCAAAACAAAAACACGGCTTATTCGGGATCGTTATTTTATATTTATTTACAATGCTCCATAATCTTTAAAATATTTTCATATATAATGGAATAAGATTCGGTTAGTAAAGATTATTGAAAAATTCATTTCTCGTGCTCCAAGAAAGAATAAAAATCATTGAAATATCTACTAACACGAGGACGTTTGTCGTTTTTTTTCTACCTTTCCTGCAATAATTGTATTTTTTGGTTGAGATTACAATTCAAAAATACGACTTGTGGTTACACAGTTTTTTCCGAAACCATTAAAAATATTAAATTCCAACGACGATGATACGCAAAGCTTACTAAACTAGATTGAATTTAAAAAATAAAATAGTAAGCTTTTGAAATTGAATTATTTTTTAATAAACATTTTTTTCGTGGTTATGACAAAAACAAAATTTCCTTTAATCGACTATTTACTTATTAAAAACAATTGTTTCACATGCAATTTAAAAAGTGAATGTAACTTTTTTCATTGGCTTGTTCATTTTCATCGTTATAAACTTAAATTATTAAAAACATACATTATGATGAGAAGTGAAAAAGTTGCATTTGTAATCATAAAGCAGCAAAGAAAAAAAAACCGAAAAAAGTAAAAACGTATATCTATGTAACCCTGTGATGTATTAGTATGATCTCAGTAAACGTAACTTAGCTGGTAGTTTTAATTGTATAATTAGACATAGAGACAATGATAAATAAGTTAGAAAAATATGCTAAGAGAGTTATAATGAATAGTAATGAACAAATGATCGTATGAATGCAGATGAATTTAAGAGTAAAAATGGGATAACAGAATACCCAGTGAATCATGCGTCGTTTGCGGGTTCGACAGCGAACCGATTATAAAAATTACACGTGTAACGATAATATTATTGCATAAGTGAGAATAGTAGATTTTAAGAGAGTTTAAAAGAAACTAACATATGTAAGCGAATAATATGCTATTGTTTATTATAAAATTTATTTAAAAAAAAAAAAACAAAGAAAATTAACACAGTTTCTTATTTTTCCTCTACAAAACAATCCAAATTTTCATCATAAATTCTTGAAAATATTTTTGTCTACTTAATTTAAAATGAGAAAATAATTTATGCATTAAACGTTGTGATTAGGTTTTTATTATACTAAACAAATATAATTGTTTTAAACATCCTGACGTTAATTCAGTCATAAAATAATCAAATTCTTTTGGAATCAAATATCAAATTACGAATATAAAAATCACCTTTTATTATTTAATATTTATAATCATGGTTGTAAATATAAAAGGCTATATTGTTGAATTCAAAATTTCAAAAAGTTTTTCACAATTTCCAATGGAACGAGTTCATATAAATTTTATACATTATTTGCCATTCTAACAAGTAAAATTCAATTTTAACATGACGTATGAATTTCACTGTTTAAGAACGGAATTAGTCAATAACTAATGAAACTTTTCTAAAATATTTTATTGGCTCGAAAATGCAATGTAGATTACGAAATTTAAAAATTAGAGGAAAAATAGTTACCTTTTCTTCTTTCCGACTATCTCTGTATCAATTTCAAATTTTCATTCAAAGACGTATATTTCATACGAAATTGTCTAATAGAGTGAATCTACAGGACAAATTATACAAACCATGGTAGAGGGAACGAAAGTTACAAGAGACGACGAAGATAAATTCAAAGGGTGCAAGGCAGTGTAGATGGGTCTAATTATTTTTTCATCGAGGATTACTACTCGATCCGGACTAGTCTTCCCCAGGTCGTCGACGCTGAATTAAGAAAGAGCAGGTGCACGAAACCAGAGCTTGGCGAACTAACCTCCACTGATCCGGCAGCAGGTGCGCAAGTTCTTTTGCAAATCGACGACCCTATCTCCCGTTCCACTGGTCCATTCGGTCTTCTTTTTTCCTCCGCAACCTCTCTACACCCGATAGACTTCTTTCATTCTTCTCTATCTCTTTGTCGTACTCTTCCCTCAGATGACTTCCCACCTTCTTGTTTGAGCTTCTCTTCGCACACCGCCTAATCTTTCCTAAGGGCCCTTTGGCAAGAAGGGCTGAAAGTCTCTGGTTACTTTTTTTCTGAGGTTCCATGGCTCTTTAATACTTTTTTCTCCGCAGCCGCGAACGAGAAGAGGTGCACCCACGTCATCAATGGGTCAGAAACTGACGCATAACGATCTAGTTAGCTATAATCAATACGATTTCGGATATTATGCATGCTTGCCGAAGACTTATTCCTTTGCCATATCAGCCTCCTTGGTTACTAAGCGATATCTCCATACCCATACTTTTATACTCGAGTCCTTTACGCTACTTTGATCTTATACCATCAATGAGTATATATTTTTCCCAGGCTTTTTAGATACGCATACCGGCAATATAAATTATCCTGTCTTGCCCTATACTCGTGCTGTCAAAAAATATAGAGAATAATAAGAAAAGAAACTTAATTTAATTCTTTAGGGAATTTTTAGCTAATTCGCGTTTATCAGATATCATTTCATTGATTACCAATGATTTGCAACATTATCACGTCTGTTATTTTAGTATTATAACATTCGATTTAATGTGTTTCCTCTGTTAGTTATGCCATAACTTCCTCATTGCCCAACGCGGTAATTACGAAAAAGCATTTATATAATTGATTGTAAAAATTCTGTCGCCCGAAGAATCGCATTATCGATTGAAATTAAAGTGCTTACTTATTATTAATTTTTTTTATTTAAACCCGTATTAGGTAATTGGTCAGTGCGGTACAATGTAAGGAAAAATTATTAAAGAATTCATGAATACGAAAGTACGCTAGCAGCATCTTAAAAATCATTCCAGTAACTGCTGAACGCGACGACAATTTCAGTTTTGTAGACAACATAAATTATTTTTATGCTGATTAAATTACTTTCAATTTCTTTATAACGCTCGTTTTATCTTGCAAACATACTTTTTTACGTTTCCTTTTATTTTATACAAGTTTTTTTTTTTAATTTCT